CTCTGGCCGATAACATGGCCACTCCGCAAAGGCTGTTCGTCTGTACGTCGACATCTGCCACACTCCATGAGCCGGCTTGCAGTGTGGGTACTGCTATAAACTCGGCGTGGAGTTAAGGGGTTTGGCCGGTTTCGGGAAACTCTTGTCTTGGTCGCCTGGCACTCGAACTGCAGCCTCTGGAAGGGCGAACGATGGCGCATGCCGCAGCAACTGCAAGGCTTATCAAGGCTTCAGGTGACTTGCGTCACGCAAGAGTCACGTAAACAGACGCCACAAGAAGTACAGTGGTGTTCGGCAACAGTCAATATACCTTGCTGGCTAAATGAAACTTATTGTAGGTCTAACTATAATGATATGCAACATAATGCAGAGGGTGGCCCTAGAACGTTGCAGCCTTGCCGATGCGTTGCAATCCTCTACTGTAAGTCCTGCGCCTTCAGTTCAACCTCCCCACACACTCCAGTACTAAGCTCGCGGCGACTTGACAGGTGTGCGCGCATGGAAGGCCGTGCCTGTCACATGCCCCACCGGCTGGTAACACAGATACAGACGTGACAGCCAGCAACTCTGAAGCTGCAGCTGCGCCTCGGCCACCGCAGCACATCCACCCGTCGAAAGCGACCAAGGTTTGGTGAAACAGGCAGATCGACTTGGCAAACGAATTTGTGCTTCTGACGGTGATTAAGCCACAGCACCCTGCCACACTACGAGTAGAGGTTACAGTCGTTAAAGTCTGTTTTTCCTTGGGGCCAGCTGTCTCGGGAAAAGCCTTACTGGTGTTATGTGGTCCAGATTGAGTAGAACTCGGCGTGGACAGGAGCTATTGCGGTGAAATGGCAGGACCCAGGTCTCAAAAAGTCGAATCTTTCGCAAGAAAAGTTGCTACCCGAAGCTCTGTCAAGCCGTGGTATGGTGAATCTGACATGGGCCCTGACATCTTCTGAATGAATTCGACAGATGGGCGATGGCCTCGGAGCCGCAGCAGCGCTTTTGTTGGATTCGAGGCAACCCTCACGTCAAGAGTACTTCCCGTAGTTGACGCCGGGCGGCTCGCAGCAAGAAAGCCTCCCTGCGAAATTCAACCGAGCTGGCCGGCGGCCTGGAGGCACAGTGGTGCGCAGTTGCAGGCACGAGCACACTCTGAAGCTTGGGATCGAAAAGATTCGGGTCTCTTTGTCTGTTCATTGTTATGCCATGCTCCAATAGATGCAGAGGCTGTTGTCTGACGAAGCCCTCGGGATTGTCTGCAAACTTCAACTGCACAAGGGAGAGCAACAGCAAAAAAGGAACCAAGAATCAACAGTCGCACCGACAGCTCGCCGAGTGCACCATCCCGCAACAACCCCGATCCACAAACCAGCAAAAGGAGCTCTGAGCCCTTAATTACCAAAAAAAATCCACACGAACATGTCCAGCGACAAGATGAAGAAGGTCCCGGAAAAAGGGCTGTCTGCAAGGAGCCCAGAGAGACCCGTGAGACCCTGGCCTGCAGGAAGCCCGCGAGCTCTGAGGAACCGCTGCCGCTGATACGTTCGTTTATTCTCTTGAAGTAGCTGCTACGACTGTCTAAAAGTAGAGGAGACCCAGGACTCTATGAAGGGTTCGTATCAGCGGCAGTCTGGCTGCATGGGCGCCAGGCTGTCAAAGCCTCAGCGCTGCCCGGGAGCAGAGTCAACGCGTGTTTTGAAACAAGTCCCACTCCTCAGAACTTGCAGTTACCCGCCGGGACGTACAGGTTGAAGCATGCCAGCTTCAGGACTGCCAGCCGCTAGCGTTTGTATGCCTTGGCGGTCGTCTCATTACCAGCTAGCGTGGTAGGCAGGGTGCCAGAGACCGGTGCACCAAAAGGGGTTGAACTGCTAGGCGAGCAGAGCGTACGCTCCCATCGCCAGCGCTCGAACTCTGTGGCTGTGTGATTCATCGACACTCTGGCATCCCTGATCACTTCAGTTGCCAACATCCTGGCAACATGGCCACTCCATAAAAGCTAAGTTGCCGCGAGGTGTTGGTATAGCGTGCGCCAAGGGTTTTGGATGTTGGCGGCTGGGCATGGGGAAGCTCTACCTCTGGTAGCCTGGCACTCGAACTCAGCAGCTGAGCGCCTCACAGAAGTGCGAGCCGAGCCGTGGGCGCTTGGCGCAACTAGAACGGCCTCTGCAAGGGCGAATGATGGCGAAAGCCAGCAGGTGCCAGGTTTCGGGTGGCTCCGCATCGCCCACGAGTCACAGAAAGAAGCGTCACAAGAAACACGGCCGTGTTGGGCAAACGTCAATACCGAATCAACGCATAATACTACACAATGCAGAGCGGTCGACCCCAGAGCATCGCGGCTTTGTCGATACATTGCAATCCTGTAAATCTTCAGCCTTCAGCATAGCCTGCCCATGCACTCCGGTACTCAGCTCGGGGCGACTTGACAAGATGCGCCTGCCCAGCCTGCCCAGCCACCCCTCGCCCCCTTAAGGCAAGACAGATGAAGACGTGACAGCCAGAAGCTCAGAAGCCGCTGCCACTTGTGCCTACAGTGGTCTTTGCAATTGCGGCTACGAGTACTTCAGATTCAGAGCGGAGCCAAAGCACTTGCTTTACAATTCCGCCTACGATCAGTCTGCCCTTGTCGGGCCGCGACCATGTCCGTATCATAAGAAACCCTTCTGGCCTGGCGCAGGACCTGCAGAGCCTCCAGGTGGCCGTTCTGGGTGGCCATGAAGGCGGGCGTGGTGCCGTTGTCGTTGGCTGCGCCCAGGTCGGCCCGTGCCTGGCGCGAGACTGCTCTGCCTTTCCGAAGAACTATCCGAATGGAAAAAGAACGAGAAAAACGAGCTCCGGCCGTGGCAGCCCACGCTTTTGAGTTCTCGGTGCGGGGGATCTGAAGCACGCAAACAGCATGCACACGGCGAAATCAGGGCGTGGTGATGGACACTGCGCCCCTCTAACTCCACTTGTGCTTACAGCGGTATTCTTCGCGTGCGGTTACTTACTTTCCTACCAAATCACTTGCCTTCAAGTTTCACCTGCCATCAGTCTTTCTACCATCACCGCGAGATCCTGCATGCGATGGCATGCCGTGGCCTCCTGCAGCAGGCGCAGCACGCCAGCGTGGCCGTTCAGGGCGGCGAACATGGCCGGGGTGTCGCCCTTCTCGTTGGCGGCCGCCAGGTCCGCCCGAGCCTGCGCATTCAGAAGCACTTTCAGCCACAAAACAACCAGCTGCAGCGACTCTTGGGCAAGCGGTGTTTTCGGTAGGCAGCTGGAGGTTCTTTCGGCGAGAATCATCAGAACCGTCAGCCGCACAGACACATGCCTCCCAAAAAGGCGCAAAAAAACACACTCCGTGCCCAAGCCCACATGCTGCCAACATACAATTACACAATGAATGCAGAAATCTAGAGCACATACTTCCTTTCCAATGTGCAAGGCGCCTGCCCAATTCGTTTACGATCGTCAAGATGAACAACTCTCAAATTTGGGCCTCTCGGCTTGAAGTGCTCTTGAGCCAGGGCTTTTTGATATACACCCTCCCCCAGCTTTGCCGCAAACTCCTTCCCAAAGTACGGACGTCTCTCAGACTTGTCTGGATGGGAGGTAGCTCCGGGAATCTCCGGGACTTTGGTCAAAAAAGCGGGGCCTCGGCTCCCTTCCTTCTGTCTCCCGGCCTTCGACCATTCAACGCGACGGGACTCTTTAGAATAGAACTCCGTCGTGGCCCGCAAGGCCAAACGCACGTTGAACATCGCAGGTGCGTGGCGCGACTCTGGTCTGAACTATCGCAGATCTGCTTCACAATTTGCACAAACCTGATTGGAGAGGCGGGCTGCTGTTGGGACGTCACAACATGTCGCTTGCACCCAACACGCCTTCCATAATGTTGGGGAGGCGGGCGGAGACACGCGGCTGGCTGCACAAACACACGACAACAAAGCCAAGACTTGAACAAAAGAAGACACGGAAGGTAGCCCAGCGACACGAAACTGGCGAGAAAGCGAGACAACACTCTTGCGGGACTCCGATGCTTTGCCACAAGGCTTGCAACAAAGGTCTTAACCTAAGCCGTGCCCCCACCCCCGCAACCTTGAGGCAAAGTTGCTTAGATTGGGGTGGTGGCTCTGCGACCTGGGCCTTTTGCACTCAAAAGTCTTCGGCGTGGGCCATCCTGCACAGAGAGAACCGACGCCCAGAGCACAAGAGTGTAGCTCTTAGGCTGCACCCTGATCTGATGATTTCGTGGCTTGCGATGCTTCGCGCTGGGCTCCCGTTGTAAGCTCCTGATCTTTCAGATGCCCTCTGAAATCAGGCATCTTCTGCGCGGATCCGCTCAAGACTTGTTTCGCGCAAGTCTAGCTGAGCCTTTGCCATGGGAACAGCAAAGCGAGTGCTCGTGGACAAAGAGATACACAGGGCAGCTCAAAGGGCTGCTAGTAGTGGTTCCCTCTACTTACCACCTACCCTTGCCCCAGAGAAGCCAAGACAACGAGCACCTAACGCAGGAGTCCACCACCCGGGCGACAGCAACTCCCCAAAACGAAGGACAGCAGCGACCGAGAGTGACATACCAAGAGGCTGATGGAGATACAGAAGTCTTGCGCGGACCCCCGGAGCTTGAGAGCGCAGATCCGTGCCAACTTCAGAAAGCAGGTGCTCACCTTGATGCAGAGCTGTTGTGGCCTTTGGGTGCTCTGGACTCAAGCGTCTGGGCTTTTGAAGACTGGGCTCCAATCTCTGGGCGTTTCGCTTTGCTGCCTCCGGGCTTCGGAGTTGCGCTCAGCCGCAGCCTTGAGAGCTTTACGTACCGTCCCCCGACCTCGCTCCACGTGCAGACATTTTCAGGACTGCAGCTGGCCTCCTCGTGCACATCCTTTTCGAAGTTGGTTCGCAAGTTGTAGCAACGACTGTCTTCTCCCCTCCCAATGAAACATCCCTGCAAGTCCCCCTAGAGGCCTCTGCTCTGAGCCTCCTCGCTTCCTTGCAACAGAGAGCTCTCCGGAAGTCCGCGGCCCGGCCTCCCAGAGCAGCCGCAGCGCCTCCAGGTGCCCGGCCGCAGCAGCCATTTGTGCCGGCGTTGTGCCGTCCTTCAAAACAGGAGCCACCACGTCACTTCTCTTCCGCTCGTTCCAATCTACGCTCGGCTCAGGCCCGGTCCTTGTCCGCTGCGGCGAGGTCGGCGCCAGCCTCCGCCCAGGGGCAGGGAAGGCAATGAGGAGTGACAGAGTTGAGCGCCCTCCTCTGACTCCACTTGTGCCTACAGTTGTCTTTGCAATTGCGTCAGATTCAGAGCGGAGCCAAAATGTCCGTATCAGAAGAAACCCATACAGTTTGGCCCACTTAGGACATACGACCGGCTGCACGGCTCATTCTTCCGGCCTCGCGCAGGACCTGCAGAGCCTCCGGGTCGCCGTTCTGGGCGGCCATCAAAGCGGGCGAGTTGCCGTTGTCGCGGGCTGCGTCCAGGTCGGCCCCTGCCTGGTGCGAGACTGCTCTGCATATCCGAAGAACGAGAAAAACGAGCTCCGGCCGCGGCGTCCCACTTTTTTGAGAGTTCTCGGTGCGGGGGGATTCCACGATCAGTGAGAAGCACCCGGGCAGGAAGTGAAGCACGCAAGCACCACGCACACGCTTTCATTCGTTGCAGGGGTTATATAGGGCAAGTCGCCCTGACCTTCTTCGGCCCTTCGCTGCACTGACTCCGGTAGCAAAGCTGCGAACTCATCCCCTGCAGTTTGACTTCTTCGGCCCTTTTCAGTGGAGATCGCCCCCTCTCAGCTCGTCTGCACATGAAACGGCTTGCAGTGTGTGTATCGCTGTACGGGGAAGGAACCCTCTCCCTTTTCCAGGCCTCGTGCAGGAGCCGCAGCGCCGCCGCGCGGCCGTTGCCGGCTGCGAGGAATGCCGGCGTGGCGCCACTATCGTTTTTGGCACCCAGCTCCACCTTGGCCTCCCAAAACAAGCTCGCAAGGCCCCCAAAAGCCCATGGGGAGCGGGTCCCTCCCTCCCTCCCGGACCCGCCCTGGCCGCCTCGCGGAGGGCCTCCAGAGCTGCCACGCGGCCGAATGTTGCGGCGTAGTGCGCCGGCGTCCAGCCATTCCGGCCCTTGGCCCCCAGGTCGGCCTTGGCCTGCAGAAGAAAAAGGGAGGGGGAGTGCGGAAGAAGGCAGGCGAAGAAGGCCGAAGGGCGACGGCGACTGCGAAAAGCAGCTCGCGGACCGCTGAGTTTCGCGAAATGCGTTGGACAGATCTCGCTGGCTTCGTGCGCACGGCTTCCTTAAACGAGTTCGGCAAAGACTCTCGGGTTGGAAGGGCTGGTTGCACGCCATCACAGCACTTTCAGCTTTCGAATCTCAAGTGCATCTAACAACCGTACAAGGTAGTTGCATATGACGACGGAACAACCCTCATGGAAGACTTAGACCCCGAGTCGGACTGAACGCCTCAAGGCCCTGGCTACTTCAGTTTCTGTACAGACTCACTGAGTATACTGCTGAAGGCCTGAAAACAGACCCACAGAAATAGCCGCGCCTTCTTTTCCTGACAACACGCTGTCTACCCCCCGGACACGTCACGGAACCAAGTCGTTGTATCTTTGGGCTCGCGCCCTTGACGGCCTAACTTTGCAGCAGTTCGGCAACTTCAGCGAAACAAGATGATCAGGTTAGGGACTGGGAGATGCGAGAGAGAACGTTCACTCTGTCGGAGCCCTCTTGCAAGTCGGAGATGTATGCAGCGCCACCCCGCCTGTGACAGCATCCGCAAGGCCTTCCGAAAGTGGGACCAGAGAACATTCACTGCTGACGTTATTAAATTAAAAATTAAGAAATGGCCACAACAGGCAAACCTGTTTCGGCTGGCATGGACGATCGACACAGCCCTTGACAAATGCGTCCAGATCTCCGAGGCCTAAAAATGTGGCAATGTCTTCGACAAATCAGGGCTGACATACTCTTGGCACGTAGTCCAGAATGCGCATGCTGCCACGTCAGGGTCTCTATGACAGGCAGCTACCCCGAGGCCTCTGCATGGCCACCTCGGGCAGCTTTGTGTGCTGCCGTTTCCCAAAGCGCGTCGCGGGCCTGGAGGTCCACGCCGTGCGCCTTTCGAGTCTGGAAAAAACAGCGGGTTTGGACAATCACCCCGGCAAGTTCACACGGGTTACCAAAGCCTGCGCGTGAAACGGTTCGACGCTGCTTCAGTACTCCCTCCACACAGGAAGAGCTCCCACAAAACAGGCAAGGAAAACAAACCAAGCCACATGCAGGACACGTCTCCCAACGTCATTCAACCCAACTGTTGCCCAAAACCTCATCTTTATGCCGGCTCGACACCAAAACCACCGTCATCAACACCCCAACGGCCCGAAGGGTTTTTCGCTGACTCTCATTTTACCCTCGGTGCCGTGCAACGAGTTGACACTGTTCCACTCGGTGCCACCTTCCCAAGTCTAACAGCATGGACTGCTCGTGCTCCTGGCTACACTCTTATCCCGAGGCCTCAATGAAGCTTGAAGGCGTTTCGTGCCGGTGCTGTCGAGCACTTAAGTTCTGGACAACAGGACGCGCGTGTATTCGGACCCAAGTTGGGACAGAGGCAAGCTCGAATCCGAGATTCTCCCCCGCTGCATACAACCGCTGAATCGTTCAGAACTGACAAAGCGGTGACGGATGGGGGTTAGGTCGTGTGGTTTGTCCTTTTTTCGAGGTCTGCTGACCAGTTCCCAGATGAGGCAGATGAGGAACCTTACATAGCATTCCTGCACGGTCAAACTCGTTAATGCCACTTCAGCCATGACTGTCCTTGCACACAGCAGGCCTGGCGCAGTACTTCCAGAGCATCCACGTGGCCCATCTCTGCAGCCATGTGGGCTGCCGTGATACCCTTGTCGTCCGCAGAGTCGGCCACGACCTGCCCATCGTTAGAACAACTTTAACCTTGGGGTGCACTGCGGCTTGAGCGTCGGAACCCCTACCTTCTCGTGCCCGTGAAGTCTTGCCTCTCTTTGTCTGACATGGATCCTCAATGTCCAAACTTGCTTTGGGGAGCTTGAGCGTGTTTTTCCATGTCAACGTGCAGGAATTCAAACAAGTCTTCTGCAGGACCGTCTGGGCAGGTGCACCGCAAGCTTGAGTGACACCTGCTGCCTGAATGGAGAGCACGCATGGGAGACGCCACAAACCGGGGTTGTGCGGAGCTTGCTTTCCGTATCACGTTCCCTTCTTCTTTGTCGCCCCTCCGCCTGTCCCTCTCGATCACTCTATGCTTCTCTCTCTCTCTCTCTCTCTATCTCTGTCTGCCTTCACCGTTCCATTCCATGTCATTCGACCTCATTGAGGTCATGTCAACTCTTGAAACTCTTGTGCTGGTGCGTGGAAGAATGGGCCCTTGCCGCGCCTGAGTTTCGGCGAGGAACCGAAGCACGTCGACGCTGCCCGATGCCGCAGCTAGGTGGAGTGGGCGGCGCCCCTGCTCGTCCGCGGCGTCCATGGCTTCATTGCTGCTATACAACGCTCTGACCACTTCCCGCTCACCACACCAGGCGGCCTCGTGCACGGGCAGCCAGCCGTCATCCTGCGTGCATGTTTGAGCCGACATGATGCGCTGCACGTTGGCCACGCTGCCCAGCCGCACCGCTAGGTGCAGTGGGCCGCTGCGGAGGCCTTGAGCCACTGGGAATAATGTCACGTTACAGCGTAGCAGTATTTCCGAAACGGCTGCGGTCAGCAACGTGGCCAAACTGAAGGCCACAGCTGCAGCGGCCAGAGAAGCCAGGGCTGGGCGGGCCGCCAGCGGGCCTGGCCGTGCAAGGACAAGTCGGGCCTGAAGTTGGGTTGAAGCAAAATTATTGGTTGTGGCTGGTTTTCGGCCCGTTAATGGCAGTCGGGCTGGGCACATCGTTGCTGTTGCCCAGGTCGAAATCCCGAGCTTAGAATTCTCGTTCTTTGCTGCAAGGCACCGCGCAGTGGCTGAAGTCAAGCCCTTAACACATTACGACTTTCAGGCTAAGGTCGGGTCAGGTCGCTCTGCTGTTGACGCGGCTACTATGCAATCTCGGCCGGAAAGGCATGTGCCATCGGGCGCTGTGCTGCCATACTTCGCAGCAACGACCGCTGCCGCCGCGATGGTGGCTAGGCTGCGGCCGAGCAGCAGCATGCGTTGCAGCCGCAGCTGGCTTCGCAGCAATGCCTGCCTCAAGCCACGTGAAGGCATGCATGCGTCGAGCTCTTTGGCTGCTCGTTCGACGAATTCTGCATCCAAGGTACTGGAAGCAACCCCAGGGGATCGTGACGGCGCTGAGCAGCAGCTCCAGCATGTCCTGGGGTCGCCTGAGATCTTCCCAGGCCTTTTTGAGGACCAGCTTGTGGATCGCCGCCGACACCGCGATCTCCACCAGAATCCAAGCTGGCAACCAGGGCTGCTGGAGGCCACGCCTGAGGTGACAATTCACAGGCTCATCAGCACACTCCCTCCTCAAGAAGGGACCGAGTCGAAACAGGGGTCCTGGAGGCGTCCACTGGACGAAGGGCCATGCCCAGGAGGGCCCAACCACAGATGCGTCCGCCGACGTCCGCGCAGCGCCAGGCCAGCAAGCCAGCCTCTGGCAAAACGCCAGGCTCCTTACTTCATTTGCACAACGTCGCACAGCGATGACAAAACCATGATTAGTGGGACAAGCGCTTTTATGCACAAGTCGACCTCGAGACCTCGCCTCGACAGGAAAGTTCATCCAAGGCTCGATGGTCGGTGCGCAAAGCCGCCGGTAGCCCTTGTTCGCGGCATCGGCCATGGATCCTAAGGACAGGCCTAGCGACAGGAGAAGGAAGAACACGCTGCCTTCCTGCGGCGCACCTGCAACTGCGAGCGCATATGCCTGTAGGAGGGAGCTCGGAAAGCTCTCGCTCAACTGCGCCAGAACCTTCTCCCTTACCAAAACTACGGTTTCGGACCCCAACTGCAAGGACTCGTACGCGATCAGAAGCGGCTTTATCTGCAGCATGTACAAAAGCAAATCCTTAACCCCGGGCTGCCGCTCCCCCTTCTCGTTCAGACCCTGGGCCCAGAATGCCAGATTTTTGTTGTCGTCCGCCCGCTCCCAACTCGCCCGGTGCAACACGAACCCCACGACCCCCGAACCCAGGGTAATGGCTATCAGCACGCTTCCGAAAGCTATCAGGCCACTTCTGAAGTATGCCGTGGCGACGTAGATGTCCGACACGATGTCAGCGACGGAAAGCGCTAGGGAAGTGGCGATGCGAAGCTGCGCTTGCAGCCTTTCCCGACTTTCCTCCTCCACTAGACCGAGTACACGGTAGCCTCGATCTGTGACGTTCTCGTGCACGTACAATGCGTAGGCCGCGGCGGCGAGCAGCGCAGCGTACGCGAGGCCGGCACCGCCGACCCAAGGCTGCTCCAGGAAGGCCCACCTGCACCGAGGGCGGATTTGAGTGACAACTGCACCCGGCAGCAGCTTTTCTTATAGGTACTACTGGTAGTACGTTGCCACTTGCAAAAAAGGCCGCAGGCACTCCCAGAAACTTAGAAATGTCGACCTCTTGAAGTCGGAACCATAGGGAGGAAGGCCCGAGGTCAAGGGGGGTTCCATAGCCCCAAAACCCGAGGCCCTGCCTGAACTCCTCGGAGACCTTCGCAGCTGCAGAGGAGACCCAGGAGACCAGCGCGCCGAAGTGATGCTCCACTTCCTTGCAAGGTAAGTGGGCTCCCCAGCTTCTTCCTCCCCCCCCCCCTTGAAAACATCAGATGGAGATAAGTAATGTAAGAGCACGAAACTTTGAGCCAGGTGTCGGCGTAGAGGCATGGCCTCAACTGCTCGTTGGTCTTGTCCATATTCGTGTTCCAAGTACCTGGGCGAGCATTGAGACCTTTCATCTTACACGAGGTACTTCTGCAGTTCATCCCCCGAACTGGCACGGCATACATCCTGCAGATCTTTGGCCTGAAGTGGACCTGCGACCATGCTCGGCATCCCAACCCGGGGCCCCTCTACGATTCCATCATGCCCGAACACCCAGATATCTTGCGCCCCTAAACTCCCGACCTCGCACCACCAACTCCGACGCCGTCCGTTCAAGGGCACTCCAAGTTGGACTACACGCGAAATAAAGAGCCTTCAAATCCTAAATCCTACTTAAGCCCCGTCACTCCTGAGAGACGCCAGGAAGGTGTCGGAGCTTCCCTGGAGGAGCCGCCTTCCCGGCTGCGGCTCTGGGAACCTCGGTCGCACCAGGAGCTCTTCGCACAAGCGAGAGAGAGAGAGAGAGCTCTCATCGACACACGGAACGAGTCCAAAGCTGGTTTGGGCTCTTCTGGGGGCTCTTCGGGAGCAGAGGCTCTGCTTGCAGAAGGAGTTTCTTGTCTACCAACCGTTCAAGTCACCGGAGACATCAACCATCAACAGGTTCTGAACACTGCAGAGGGTTTGCTTTGGGTCTGCCGGACTCTCAGGTTGTCATGCCGGGCCCAATTTGCAAGGGTGTGCATGAGCTTGTGGTAGCTGGGACGCATTCACCTTTCAGAGCAGCTGGGATTCAGGGCCAGAGCACCTGAATGGAATCGAAAAAGCGCGAAATCAATCCAAAGGTTTCAGCCCAGCGGCCATGCATTGTGAAACAAGATAGCGAGCGTCGCAAAGAGGCCGAGTGTCCTGAAGATGGCCATCTGTCCTGTCAAAGCGCAGACGATTCGCGGGGTTGGGGCTCTCAGGACACGCGGGGCCTGACATTGCAGGAGAACGCATGGGCGCACAGGATGTGCCTAAAAGCCGCTCAGGCCTAAACATCTTCTCTTGACTTGTCGCTGCTCTATCTTCCTGTCTCGACTGCTGCTTGCTTTGGGTTTGCCATAGATCGCTGTTGCTCCGGCACTGTGCTTGCGGCAAATAGCTGCAGTGGGCTATAACATTTTCGCTTGCCACGACAAGACGATGATATCAAACAAGGCAATTGCAACAGCAACAGAAATGCAGCATCGCGAATTGTAAGCGAATCAAGAACGCAAACAGTAACAACGTCGCTCGTCGTCGCCATCGACATCTCCATTTGTGCTCCCGGCAGGGACAACAGCAACATGGCCGCCGTTCGAACTTTTCATAGCCAGGATAGAGTGGTGTCACTTCCTAAATCCTGACGGACATCGCCCTCGCCCCCAAAAAATCTCCGCTGCATCCCCTCTGCGACGTCGCAGAGCTTTGTTTCGCCAAGCTCAGTATCCGGATCCCCTCACCACCTGCCCCACCGACGATGTTTCCGGGATGGCCCCGAACCCGAGACCTTCTCAGAGCTTTGGCCCCTTTCTGTGGCCCTGAGACGAGGGCAGAGGCCCGAAGCAACAAGTCCCAGGCCGAAGGAAGCTGGTCGTCTCTTGGGGGCTTCTGGGCTCCTACTAACTAATTTACTAATTAGTCATTTAAGGTACCCCTCTTCAGTACTATACTACAACACTACAACATCCTTCCTAAATAGTGACGTGGACATTAAGACCCGTTATCAAGAACCCAGGCTTTCTCCGGGTGCCGACGATTGGGGGTTGTTGGCCTGACGACGTCAGGGTTTAATTAGGGATGTGGGCTTTTCAACATGAGTGTCTTGCAGGGGCTGGAGCAGGTTGTTGCGGGGAAGAACGCTTCTGACCCTGACCTTTAAGAACGAAGCAGCCGTGAGCTAACGGATGTTTCTGTGGTGCGTCTCCAGGCTCACAGGTCAGCGCTCGCCCAGACTCAACATCCTTGGTTCTGGCCGAACAGCTTGCGTGATCACTTTCACAGCGCCGGATGACACGTGCAGTTGGGCGTTACGTGAACTACATGGCGGAGGAGCTTGACTCGCAGGCTGGCGATGCTCAGCCGAGAATCCATCACTCCGCCAAGTGCACTTTCAAAGCAAGAGAGGGCACCGAACTGCCTATCCCGAATGCGGCATCCTTCCCTCACCGGCCCTTGGGCCCCGCACTGGCGATCGCCTTTGCGCGGGTCAGCACAGCGAAGCGCAGGCATCGAAGCCGCCGGCCTACACCCAAAGATTGTAGCTTCTTCTTTCCCGAGGCAGCACCCTTTAACCCTTTAACCCTTTAACCCTTTAACCCTTTAACCCTTTAACCCTAAACCCTAATTCCCTCCCTCCTTGGCCTTAATGCAGCTGCAGACGTCGCACTTCTCTTTTTGACTCCTAGGCTTGGGCGTCAACCGGAACTGAAGAGAAAACTAGTCGTTGACAAAGAGGACAAGCCGATGATGGCAGAAGCGGCCAGCTCTGCCGTCCGGCCGTCCCGGGCATACACAAGCATGCCCGTAAAGAAGAACTTTAGCCGGTTACGGTACAGGTTCCAAACGAGGAGCACGAGCGTCACGAAGTCAAAGGGTCGGGCAGGGAGGGCAGTTGTCAGGCTTCCTGTTGCTGGCGGTGGCGCTGGCGGCGGTGCTCCGTCTGTCAAAATCAACGGCGGCTGCGGCGGACTGTGGCTGCCGAGGAGCAACTCCGAAAGCCACAGCACTATAGAGAGTCCTCGACTTCGGGCGCAGCACCGGTAAGTTGGCTGAAAAGCTCACGCCCCAGGTGGAGGCAAATTGCCACCAGACCACGGACGCACAGCCGCACCACCAAGGCTATGAGCAAAGCCACCACGCGAGGGAAGAGCAGGACCAGTACCAAAACCAGCCACGTTCTCCACCTTGTCAAAGGCAGCCAAGCCCTCAGCAGCTCTGCAGCAGAGGGCCGCGCGGGTCCAGCTGGGACACGAGTGAGCGGACGGGGGCGCACCGGTTGAAGTCCGCCCACTGGCCGCAAAGTTTGGCTCGTCCACGTAGGCAACGAAGTGGTGAGTTTGGCTAGGGCGGCAGTCACCCGCCTGCCACCGAGCCGGCCTTCCAGCGCGCGGCAGTCGCGCAGGCAGACGGGTCTTGAAGAACTTCTGCCGCTGTGAGGCCGGCGTCCAACGGCTCGTCGCCCAGCTGCGCTGCCGCCGAGTGAGCTGCCTCTAGCAGCGCCTCTGTAGCCGACTGTTCACGCTGGCTCAAAGTGGGAACTCCGGCAGTGGCACTCCCGGGTGTTGGCGTTGCCACAGACTCTCAAGCTTTGCACTCGACGGAGTCGACGTGAGAGTCTGAGAGTCGCCCTCCTGGTAGGGCGGCTTCCAGACGCGGCCAGGTTGTCTTGGCTGGCCCCGCGATCCATCCCACCTTGTCTGGACAACGGGGGTTGGCCAGGACCACGTAGATTCGGGTCTCGCCGTGATAACACACAGCAGAGCCCGTCACCAGACGTTGAGCTGTCCCAGACGGCTCCTGCCTCTCCACTGAAGCCTGGTTTCACTCGCCACAGAAGCCGAAGGTGTAGTGGTGGGGCCACTCGGCATGCGCTTCAGCCAACTTGCCCCTAGCGGCTTCACTAGCAGAGCAGGCCACTTGCAAAGCCAAGCCTTCTTGCAAGTAGGACTTAACCGTCTCTTGCCTGGCCCAGCGTCCAGCGAACTGTAAAAGAGCGATATTCTCAGTGACCCGGAACAAATGTGTAGCTCCGCCACCGCGTAATGATCCTCGGGTATAATGCAAATCACCCACACGCAGACGTTCCAGGCCAAAGGCAAACAGCTTGGACCAGTCTCTCCGCGCGACCCGGAAAAGTTTCTCTGTTCGTGGTTTGCCCTCCACCCACCAAGTGAGCCATCGGATCAAAGCGGGGGATTTCACAATCACCGCTGATTTCGCCACACCCGTCGCGTCTTTGGGGAGCGGAGAGAGAGCACTAGCCCCACAGCTTCGTCAGAGGGAAGGCCTGGATCAGGTAGGCAAACATCGCCCACTAACAAACCCGCTGCCTCGCCCGGTCTGAGCAGTGCTTCAAAGCACACCCAAGAAGAAAGCATTGCCGCCAGATACCTCTCGCGGTCTCGCCCCGTCTCACCCAGCGCTCGCGCCATCAAGGTCACCAGCAGGCACTCGAGCACATATTTAGAAATGGGCACCCTTGATTTCACGGGTTGAAGGGACTGCCACCCCTTGATAGCGGCCAGAGGACCCGCAATTCGTAGTGTCCTTTGCAACCCCAAGACTCCTAGAGTGACCTTGTAAAGACGCTCGCCCTCCTGATAGCAATGCTCCACTGTCGCTGCCAACACTCGATCTAGTGTGCGAGCCGGAGTGCGCCGCGTCACCGTAGCCCCCAACTCCCTCGCTTTGTTCAAAAGCCACGTTGAGGACTCACGAAGGCTGTGCCGATCCTCAGAGGCACCCGCTTTTGCCCAACTGACCAGCGCATCTGCAAAGACACGGCAGAACGCTTCAGGGTACGCCGCATCACCACCACCTTTTCTCATGGGAGCTGCCCGCCGCGGTGCATGTTGGAGGCCACCCGGGTGCTGTTGCAACATTCCCTCGAGCCAAGGAGCATTTGTCAACACCCGTGACGGCTTTCGCATGCCCTGTGAATCAACCCCGCCCTCGTCATAGGCATCCCAATCGATTTGCAAGAGTTTCATGCCCTCGGTGGAGATTAGCTGCTGAGTCCCGGGCAATTTCCAAGCGACGCTCCTCTTCGAGTGCTCGATCACGAAGAACGCCCCCTGGAGGATGGCAATGTTAGCTATAGTTCCAAAGCCCGATCCCAGCATGCATTTTCGCGGACGACCTCGGGGTGGCTCGCATCGCCCTCGGGCTCATCATGATGCCGGCCAAAACTCCCGCCGTCCGCCGCAGGACACCTGAGAAAGGTGCGGCGCGGTGGCGCCATCCAAGCCCAACACAAAGTGCCCTCGGTGAACAGCTTGGTCACACGCTCATCAAAGGCATCATTGCCCCAGCTCAGCCCGATGGGCTCCCTCATTTCCAACCCTTTCGCCTTGATCGCGGCGGTCAATCTACCGGAGCTGGCAAACACCTCCAGTCCCAATAGGCCTGGTGCCGCACCGCCCCGGGCAGGTACCCCAAGTCGTAGAAGCCACCTAGGAGCAGGCAAAGGAGCAGGAAGAGGTCGAAAGCGTGAGGGGCAATCTGCAATGTTCGCCGCGGTCTCTACCCACAATAACGAAAGGGAAATCCCCGATAAAACCAAATGTGGAGTCATAGCCCTAAGGATCCCGTTCAACTTCCGGCTGCTACTGCGTCCTTTGACAAAGGAGCCGATCACAACCCTAGAGTCATTCAAGGCGAGGATCACCGTGTTATAGTTGGCTGGGTCCGCGGCCAGTCGGATAAGCTCTTTGCGCAAGGCCCGGGCCTCTTGAAGATTGATATGGCTGGTTTCCCGAAAATGGTAACTGCTCACAACTCGCCACGGGAGACACAAGGCCACCGAGCTCGCAAACCGTGAAGCCTCCTCGGCTCGAGGAGCCAGCCACTGCAAAGCACCTGGGTCATCTAGACGAGCGGCCTCACCCTTGAGTTCAGCGTGCTTCCACAAGGCCCGCGCCAACTCTTCGGTAATCGGAGCCTCGACAGCTCCACCTGAGCTCGGGGTGGCATCGGTTGCTAGCAGACTGGAATGAATCGCCCGCCGCATATCCCACCTCGCAAAAGGCAAATGCAATGAACAGCTGCGCAACTCGTCGAGGATGTAACCTGGCAATGGCACCCACTTCCCTGCCGGCATTCGTTCAAGGTAGCGGTACACATGATGTTGCAAGCTATAAAACTCCCGGCGGTACTGGAACACGAAGGCGAGGTAGCCGATAGTCTTTTGGAGCACCTCACGCGAACACCATCCGCCCGTCACAATCTTCATCAGGATCATCCACACTTGGCGACGCACGTCGAGCGGGGAGCTCACACGCCCTTGGATCCCGTCCACCTCCGCGCCCCAGGCACGAAACCGAGGTTCAAAGCGAAACGCTTTGCGCACGGCTCTCTCCAAACCCGCGGCCTTGTACGCGCCCTCGGCCGCGACCACCTGCTCGAAGTCCTTGTCGCTGACCTGGGCGGCGGGGGGCTCGAAGCTGCCATCTAGGGGGATGTTATAGGGCAGGGTGATCTTCTGGGCAATCAGCAGGTCATCTAAATACGCGCCCTCCCACAAATCACTGTCTGAAACGTGCTCACCGTAGTGCAAGGTGTGGGCTGGGTCCAGGACACCGCGCTTGCGCAGCACTGCTTCATGAACAGCCTGGGCCACATCGCACGCGTTAAGGTCACCCATGCCCAGCACCCGGAAGCACAAGCGATAAGGTACTTTGGGGTCACCGCCAAACTCAGCAACAACGGCACGATCCACCTGGCGGCCCACGGCATTGTACCTAACCCAACTCTCCGGCAGCTTCAGCATGTAGTAATAAGTTCGCAGATCATCCCCCGAACCCCGAACAAACTGGTTACTCCGAAGCAACATCCGGCAGAAGCATGACCCCGCTGGCAAACGTGCCCACCTCAGACTCTCCATCGTGCTGTTCTCGGGCCGCCTGTCAAAGATCAAGCAAGCGATCCTCCGTCTGGTTTTTGGCTACACAGAACAACCCTCCTGGCATCAACTCGCCCGCTCGATTCCGAGGAAGCTCCCGCTCTGGAACAAGAACCGCCATGTCTGCCTCGAGGAGCCGGCGTGCCAAAGAAGCTTCCTCCTCCTGGGGCACGCGATGGCATGCTCGCACAACATCGGACCACAAATGCTCCAGCAGGTGGTACTCTTCGAGATGATGCAATGCATGGGCCTTATCGGGGTCCAACCACTCACAAGGATCCACTGTGCCCGCCTTCTTCGGGATGGCCACCCGCGCGGCCGAGACCGGCAAGGCACTACCCACCACACCACCATCAACCTGTCCAAATTGCTTGAAATAACTTGCACCCACTGTACACTGGACCTTCGAGATCAAAGCGTCTATCGCCCCCTTCTTGCCATCACAAGAAAGCCGACCTAAAACCAGATCCAAACAAGCGAATTCACGTACCTCGCCAAGGAGCTTGTCAGCACGGGCCCGAATGCCCTCCATGCTCAGATAGCCCACTCGCGGCTCATACGCACTGCCCCCGGGACGAGGACAGCCAAGGGTGACAAAGTTGCCCCAAGCCATAAACGTATTCACGAAAGCTTTGGACCACCAATCACACACCTGGCCTTCCTCCATCGTCTCACCTTCAGCGACCACGGCTTCCGGATAGGGCAGCATGCATGGAAAAAGCGGGACACCGGTGCCGGACCGCTCCAGCCTATGACCTTGGACGCCCTCAAACCACATAAAATATTCATAAAAGCTTGAATTCAAAGTCCTCGAAGCCAGGATGGGATGTTGCACCGCATCGCCCGGCTTGGCACGCACGTCCTGAATTTCGGGCCCCGGTGGGGGGCTCTTCCTCCTCGTCGCCGTGGCCCCGGCTGCTCTGCACTTCCTTGACCCTCTTCTGGAGTTTCGCAAGTGCTTCCACGTAGCCCGAAACCACAGCCATCTCCTCCTTGCTGCCCACAAACTCCCGCCTGGCAATCGGATCGGGCAAGCCAGTGAGGAGCCAAGCTGCTGACCAGTCGCCCCCGGCCAATACGCTCTGCATCTTCGCCTTCAAGTTCTGCACCACCTGGGCCGCGGCGATCTCCGGCTGATTGTTCCTTAAGTACTCGTAGACGGCCACGTCCATCATCGCACACCTGAAGATCCCCTTGAACTTGCCCCAATGCTGCTTGCGAACGAAGTCCTTCACTGTCCAGGCCTGCCCCCGGACTATTCCTAGGTCCTCGATCACCTCCTTCTCGAAGAGCTCGCAGATTCGGCGCGGCCTCGTTTGGATCTGCTTGTGGAGTTTGTTTAAGCTCGCCACAGCCCGCATGCCTTTGGACTTGGAGGCGCCCTCGATGCCCGAATCGTCGGAGTCGGAGCCACCAAGGATACCGAGCTCGTCCGCATCCTCGCGACTCTTCTTGCGCCCTCGGCTGCGATCCTTGTCGAGAAGGAGGGCCATCATCATCGCCGGCAGGAGGTCGTTCGCCGATTGCCCCGAAGCAAGGCCCTTGACCAGAACCTTTCGGAGGTCTGGGCTGTCCCCGCGCTGCTTGCTGGAACCTTTCTTTGGGCCTCGGTCTCGGCCCCCCGGCGGGAGGAAGCTGCTCGAAGCCCGCTCCCGTCCTGAAGGAAGATCTTGATCGGATTCCCCCTCGTCGTCGGTGTCGTCTTCGTCTCCCTCCGCCGCATAAAGGCGGCGAAGCTTCTGGGGCCTCGTTGAGGGGCGCTCTCCGCGGCTGGGCTCGTGCCGATCTCGGCTTCTGCGGTAGCTCGGCCTCGCTGCTTCCTAGCTCTGTCGCCTTCGCTTTCGGCCATGCAGTCACACAGGCCTTGTAGGAAGGAAGGTCCTTGGCCTTCAAGCCCTTCCACCCTGAAGGGAGCTTCTCTGTAATCGCCGAAGCGGGCACCCGCACGAACCGTACAGTAATCTCCCCGGCCTTGCCCACAGCACTATTCTCAAGCTGAGTAAGCTCATGCGAAGTTCCGAGCACCACCTCGCCGTCCGGGCAATCCACTACCCAGCCGCAAACCGGCACCGGTTCTGCTCCGGCCAAGCAAAAGCAGAACGCCACGTCCCCAAGCGCCATGCTTAAAGCTAATCCCTTCAAAACTTGAGCAAGATGCAGCATGAGGCCAGCACAGTCTGCGAATCACCAGAAGCTCTTCTGACCTGGCAGCACTCGTGCGGGAATGAGGGGGACAACCCTAAACCCTCAAACCCTAAACCATTTTAAAATTTATGCATGGATACGGTCTGACTTTGGGATCGGGTCTACGCAGCTCTAAGGCTCTAAGGCTAAGTTCGCAAGCCTCCGTGTGGCTCAGTAGGCTCCAGGATTAGGGTTTAGGGTTTAGGGTTTTCAAAGCCTCTTGGTTTCCGTTCTGTCGCAGATGTCGTGGCTTTGTTGGATCTGAGCCCGCATCCACAGTTCTGTCGCATGTCCTAGCCTAAA